ATATATATAATTCAATTGTGTCATCACGGAAAAGCAACCATTTTTAAAGGATCAGCCTTCTGCTACACATGAGAAACATGTTATTAGAAAATTGCTGTGTTACATTTTGGCCAGATAGCATAATATAACAGTCCTGACAAGTAGACCTAAGTACTTAAAGAACAGTGGCACACTATCATCTGCTGACAGCTTCAGCATTTCAACCATTCGTATCTGTAAGAAGCCTAGTAGGATTTGGAAGTGACTATACTAAGTATTAAGTAAAAAGTCAATATTCTGTATGACCACACAAGGTGTCTGTCCCTGTTGTGCAAGATACAAGCAACTACTCAAAATAACGTCATGGTAGAGACTGGGAAGACAATTCCTGGGTCACTGAGTCCAACTCTTGATATCACAGACAAGTACATCCTATACTATCTGTACAATCTGCTTCATAAATTCTTTAGTGAAGAAAGGTATGGTCATATACTGTAGGCTAGGATTGAGATAGCAAGATCTGTGATGGGGAAAGAATAAATTTAAAAAAACAAACAAACAAACAAAAAAACCCTGAGGTTACAACTGGAGTCAGCAAACTTTTATGTAAAATATATCAAACTAAAATATTATTATTTAGAAGTCCTTCTCTGTACCCAGTAGTTAACTGACTTGTCTCTAATGTATCTCTCTGAAATATTTTTTTTCAGTGTAATTCTTCCTTTTACACATTTATCCTGTCATCTCTTTAGGAAAGATGCTGTTTGAACTTCACTTGTTAAGTAAAAAGGGTTCGTGCTAATGCAGGTGAAGACCACCAGTAGTGCATGCTTTTAAGATCACTTTATTAACATGACTTCTTGGCAGGATTCAAAAAACAGTTTATGGAGAATGCTGCAGCAACACAGACTTCTTCCTAGCTGGGACTCCTGCAATCTTGCCATGATCTCTCTTTCATTTCAGCTTTGCTGAAGACTAGAAAGCCAACTTTAAAAGATGAAAAAAGGCTTTGTAAAAATGGCATGACAGAACACTGCATTCACACTGTTTAAGTTAATATGTAGTAAATGTATTCCGTTTGCAAGGATAAAGATTTCCCATTCTCCTACTTCCACCTCTACAGACTGCTGAATTTGCTGAAATTCTCCCTTTCTTCTTTCTTGCTTACATCATCATCAATAACAAAATAATCAAAAGACCAAAACCTTCTGTCATACCTGTGCAGCCACTTACTGCCCCTGAATACCTAATTTCTTGCTAACAGGATGTGGCTGACACTTGTTATAGATATAAATCCTTTACTAGCTCTAGTACCAAATTTGTGTTCTGCAAGGCTAACAAAAGAAAGAAGTAGGGATGAAAGCAAGAGATGGCAGAAGCTGACAGATACATGTCTAAACAGCAAAAGTCTTCTGCTTACATTAAAATCATAGAATCACAGGATTGTTTAGGTTGGAAAAGACCTTTAAGATCATCGAGTCCAACCATTAACCTAGTACTGCCAAGTCCAACCACTAAACCACTTGATGACTACACAAACACTACCACACAGCAGATACAAAATAGCTATCACTTCAAAAATACAATGCCATCTGAAGTGCAAGGCATCGTGATTATTTTACAATGAGTTTGCTAAGGTGGGCTTCAAAACATGTTTTACATCGTCTTTTCCCTTCTATCCTTAATACTTACAGAGAAAATACCTACTATTCCTATTTAATCATTTAATTTCTACTTCTCAATCAAATTTTGTTCTTATAATCACATTTTTGAGTCAGCCTCAAAATAGGAGGAGGAGTAAGGAAACAATATATTTTTCTTCTCTATACATTTTTCTTCCCGGTAGATAAAACTAAACAGAGAACACTGCTGTCTGACTCAAAATCACTGTAAGGACATTTTACACACATTTCCTTCTACAGCTCAAAAGAATCAAAAGGAAGTCAAGTACAATAGAAAAAATATAATATTAAGTTTCTGAAACTGAATTTTGAGGATAAAGAAAAAGTAGTAACTGATTTCTTTATTAGAATTAAATTGTCCTTGCTCTAGTCTAAAAGCTTTTGTTTCTTTACACCACATTTTAAACCCATGCTTGCACAGTGAGGTTGCCCTGGAATGCCATGGTAGGAGGCTGCAACCTTCCTCCTAACTCTCTTGCTGCAGAACACTTAAAATTCCATACAATAATACTGTAGCAAATAAATTAGCATGCATTGTTAATCTTTTTTAATGTGAGATTCAGCTATATCATCCTCCAGTTACTCTGATTCTACATCCTCTTCTACTTGTAAAGTCAATATGTAAATATTTGTATCAACTTTTAAATAGGTCTTCTACAGGTGTTTTAAAAAGCAAGATTGTTTGCATCATAATTGAAGGCACCTACAAAGCACCACTGTAAACATTTTCCACACCAAGAAACAGGAGTTTCTTTAGGGCTTGTAAGCTCTTTGCAATCTGGAGCCATATGCCATTTCAGTACTGCTTCAAGTCCTTACTTGTTAGACCCTTTTTAATTTTGAATTGATGCCAAGGTCAGGCATCATAACAGAGGTTTCCCATTTAAAAGCTTACCCTTTTTTTTTTTTCTTCAAAATACCTACATACACTTTGCAGTATTAGCACAGTTTTATGCTAAAATATGACAAAACCTGAAAGTTAATTCTATTTTCTTCAGTTTTACTATGCCCTCTTCTGCCCCCTCCTGCTCAGTTCAAAGCCCACTGAAAGTTAGTGGTCATGGACTGGGCCATACGATTCATGAAAAGCAGGTACAACCACGGAGCGCAACAAGGAGCCCTGCAACTTTAAAACATGAAGAAGACATTTTCTGGACTGCCCAGTAAAAATCTCACGGCACCTTAGGAAGGACAACAGACATGGCACACTTAGAAACTTATCACTAGAAATTAAAAATAAATAAACAAGTAAAAGATACTGACAATACGTACTTTTGACAAAGCTGGCTGAACAGCACCTTGGGAGAAAGAGGACCTTTTCCAGCCTCCCTCATGCTGTGAAGGAACAAGAACATCGCTGAAGTCAAGGGTCCTGGGCTGGAGAGGTTTACCACCAAAGGATCCTTCAAAGCAAAGGTAAATTGCACATCAGGTTTCAAAGTTAATGACACACAAGACTTATTTCAAGTTAGTACATTTATGACAAAGAATAATGTAACTTTCAGTCTTAGAGTGTTTGTTTTGTCGTTTTTTTCTAATGTTGATGTCACTACGTGATTGAAATAGTTGAAGAGAAAGCTTATTATTTAAGCAGTAATGTTGCCAAACCAAACAATTCTTGTTGAGCAAATTGGCTGGTTAACAACAGTTTTGGAAATAGGTATATCAATAAGCCAGTTGATTCTTGCAAAACCAGACTACCTCCTGTATTACCTGCTTTACTCTTACTCCCACGTGCACTGAAATTCAGTTGGAGAGACAACACGGGCAATCTCCTCCGTTGGCCAGCATAAGACGGAGCTCAGTGGCACTCTGTCTACTCAGCCTCAGGGAAGGGCTGGCCAGCTTCTCCGACCTGAGCCGTGCACCAAAATTTCCACACATCCAACAGCCACGGAAACAAACATACCCTGTTCCTCCAGGAACCAGGCGCCCGGAAGGTACCGGCAGTGGTTGGCAGTAGAGGCTGACAGCAGACCCTACAGGTCCACCGTGTTGGTGGGGGACAAGCACAGGGTGCATCCCTCGCAGCCTCTCCTGGTGTGAGATTCACCCCAGCCAGCAGGTCCCGGGGCTGGAAGAAGCCAGCCAGCGGGCACCTGAGCCAGTCTTAGTGCAGGAGACACTCTCCTGCACTGCTTACGTGCTACATGCATCTCAAGTACACATTGCCAGCTCTCCCTAAGACACTCCCAGGCTCGTAGATGACCACAGTGCTTCCTACTAGCTGGCCTGACTCTCATAAAAAAAAGTTTACAAACGTTGGACAAAGAGTTACAAAGGCTGCCTCGTCCACAAAGCAGATCCATACAAAACATAAGCACTACAGATACACACAAATATAAAGTATTTGCATTATACACACTATCAAAAGGTGGAAAAATGCCCTTCACCAAGCAGAAAGCTGGGACTTTCTACATTACTATTAGTTAGACTACTGCAGCCCTCTAATCCTGTGTTGATATACAAAGATCAGAAAACACAGTCTGCTCCAAAGATTATTTACATTGTAAGCATTGACATTAAACAAAAAAATAAATCTTCTGACCTTATGGTTGTGCAAGTTTCACATCAAGCATAAGCCAAAGTACCCCTGGCTTTCTAAGCCCCTGGGCACAAACAAGCTGCAGACCTCCATTGTGGCTCAGGATAACTTAGTGAAACATGTTACTGCTCAGAAGTGCCACTGGAGGTAATACAGACAGCAACACAGAGAATTTCACACTCTTCTTGCCTGGAGAAGTTATGAACATCACTGACAGCAACATACAGAAATCTTCATCATTTCAGAGGCATCTGAAACAGAACCCCACACCTCAACCCTCCCTGCCACCAGAAAGCTCGGAGCAAACAGCAGAAAAAGAAAATTTAAAAAAAAAGAATAAAATTCCTCTGTTAACTGCTTTCTTTAGCCAGCAGAGGCAAAGGGGTATTATCTTTATTGCCAACAACATATTATGAAAACCCAAGTCTCTAAGACATGACAGGGGACAGCAGCATATTCTTTTGATAATAACCACAGGAGTCTCCTTCCCACATGCCTGCAATGAGCTTGACGACAAGAAATTTGGTCCTCACTGAAATTTTGCTTCTCTCAGTTCAGTCCCCTGGCTTGTGAAGCACATAAATTTTACAAGCCTTATCAATGAAAGGCTGGGACAGACTGGAATAAAATATTTCATGAACACTTTCTAGAGCCAAATATACTATTTCCTGTGTCATACATTCATACCAAAGAAATTTATTGGGAAACAAAAATAAGCCAGCCATTCTTTCTCAAGGTCCAGCATTATTTGCTACTTCAATGTCACAAATGTGAAAGGAAGTGATTATTCCTCGTCATCCAGGGCTGAATAATTAGTTTTGTAAAAGGAATGAGTTCACAGATACCATAAAGGCAAAAGAAACAGGAGAGTAAGAGTGTGTCTTTAACACAGATGCCATTGCCTATCCTCCAGCTTCTTCCCACATTTCCCCAAATTTATATTTCTCACCACATACTTACCAATTGGGAGTCTGAAGTATGACAGATTTTTAACTTTGTTCCTTTCTCCCTCATCTCATACATCAGTTCATTTAGTATGTGAGTCTGTGCCAAGTTCTTAAAGGAAAAACAACAAATCCAAGAAACACAGGCTGATCTTTCAACTATACATTTTTCTTTAGTTATAAATTCTAGCTTCAGGGATAGATGAAACCAGATATATTTCATAATGTACAACTGAGTTTTAAATCAGACCACTAGAAAAAGCAAGTATCACCCTTATAAGAACCAAGATCATTGATCTCAGACTTACACTAAAATTGTATCCTCTTCTGTTTCTGTAATTCCAAAATAGTTTCCTAATAATAACTTTGTTATTTTTGTTGAACAACAAGATTTGTTAATTTTTTTTTTTTTTTTTAAGGTGAGGACATTTGTGTCAGAAATCATTTGTTTCTTTTAAACTCTGCAGTCCCCTTCATCATACCCTAAGAAGCACAAAAGCTTTGACATACTGAAAAGCATCACCTCTCTGAATTTAAGAGAGAAACCAACTCAACCCATCTCCACTTTTTTCTTTATTTTTGGTTAACTTTGACTGCAGATCACTTAGGTTTCTACAATGCCCTAAGCAGGGACAGAGAACAATTTGGAGTAATTCTACTCCTTATAAATTTACTATTTGCTTGCTGAGTTTTGTAATCATGACCATAAGCACAAGGCAGAGTCCCAGTTCAGAACACCTTTGTAGCAGTTTTCTCTCAACTGTTCACTCCTGTCTGCAGACATGCAGATGTCTCTGCTCAACTGACAAGCATAGGATGGTCCAATATAAAACCTGATAAGGCTGCTGCTTTTTTGAGTATGTTAGACTAGTTGTACATTCAACATCAATAAAATTTTATTACTATAGTTCATTCCACTTTTTCTGATCAGAAAAAAAACACCTTCATCAATAAAAGTACTTTTATAACTGCATCCATTGTAAGGGTTTAAAATCATCACAATGCACTATGCAGACATTTACATTGTGCACAAAGTACCACTTTTACCACCCACTAGTATGGTAAATACTGTGCATTACTCATAGCTCCCTAATGCTGAACTACAAATAAAACCATATGCTAGAATACAACCCACACACATATGCAGTGTATAAAACACTTGACATTTTCATTGGTCTCATTACTGTGAAAAATGCTACTGATCCAGGAATTCTTTTTTGTTGTAACAGGAAATATTGCTTGGATAGCAAGGAGTAAAAAGAATTTGAAAAGGCCCTTCAGAAAGCAGACTGAAGATTGGTAAGAGTCAGAGTCTCTTCTGAAGCCCACAGTTTACACAGATTAAGTATTTCTGAAATCTGTTAAGAAAAAGCTGTATCATCTTTTCATCTTACCTGCATGACAGCATTAAAAAAGCATGTATTTCCTAAGTTATTTATTCCTTTAACTGGAACTGATGCACCATTACCAGAACTTTTTCCTTTCAGTATTTCACTTGTTTCACTGTTTTCTTCACGGAGTCGGATGATTTTTGATGAACCTATAATTAAACTATAGATTAATATTACTATATAATTGCATAGTTTAATCAATTAAATGAATTATGTCCTTCCATGAATTATGTTTATAATTTTTAACATATGCAGAAAGATACCTTGATGGTGCCCTAAGCTGCTTTATGTAATCTTTGGGTTAAAAAAAAAAAAAAAAAAGAGACATCAGTTAGACGCCTGGGGAAAAAAAAATCCCCCCAACAACTGCATATACGTGACAAAACCTTCCACAATAATCATACTGTCTGATAAGACTGCAACTTCTTCAATTACCCAAGCAATAAGTAAAGTAAAACAAGCTCTGTTAGTTTATTAACAATAGGCAGTGAAGATGTACGTTCATTAGACCACTAGAAACACCACACAAAGGCTGCTTTTTGGTGCATTTAAGAGAGGTAACCAAAAGTTACCACCTGGATGCTGCAAGTCTTTACCAATTATTGCACTCTGTTTGAATTGCATTGGACAACTCGGGCCACGGCCAAATTGGAGTTGTTATCAGTTCCCCCAAACTCAACGTTTGCTCCTCCACCCACCTCCCTTTGTGACAGCCTGAGGAATTGCTAACACAAGCAAATGCATATGATGCTGCTGTTTTAATTTTAAACAACAAAAATTTGATAAAACTGCAATGGAATATGCTACCAGTATTACATGCATGTATTTCCCTGTTTCCCTTATTATTTAAATAGACGAGGGGCAGCAAAGTTAGACAGTCATTAACTTGTAGCCTAGAGGTAATGGAAAGACTTGAGATAACAATATTTAGCCTCAAATTCTACTAGCAACTTTCATATTGTCATGATTGCAGGACTAAATATGAACATTACTGACATCTGCAGTGTCTTAAATATTGATTAACAATGCATGTCAATGTAAACGAGTTATGGACTTAATAGATGCCAAGAACTGTGATGCTGCAATCTCTGTCTTGACATATGAATTCATGTATTTGTTCTAATGAGTTTCACATTGAAGTCTCATTAAAGTGTTCTTGAGAAATAACTAACAGACCTATTTATGTTAATGAAATGCTCATGCCAAAAGGTTCTTTTATGTACACTCCTTGATAGTTTCTTGCTTAGAAGATGAAAAACTATAATTAAATAAAAAATAAGTCATTAAAATATCTATTGTATCTGGCAACAAGCTTCTGACGCAGTCTGTCTGCACCCTATAATGTCATCAAGGCGTAATTATTTTTCCAAATTGTACCTGAGTTTGTGAAAACGCAGTTAGAGATGCTTTGCTGTTTAAAAACATTTTTAAATGTTCTTGGTAATACTGCTTACACAGCTTTAAAATATCCTCCTTTCCAATCATGTGGAAAATTAAGACAGTACAAGGGCAAAGTAAGTCCTTTCAAGTCCTCCTTGAAAAAGCAGACAAAGCATTTCTGAATGCAACGAACGACAAATAGCTTGGGAGCTGCTCACACCCTGAAAGAGTCACCCGTTTATGTGTCTCGTGCAGCAACACCTTTTAATTGATGTGCTTACGAGGGGCACGCTACAGTGTCTGAGACTCATCCACCCACGCAGAGCTCCCAAAGAATCATAGCAGGAGACTGGGAGCTCCAAGTGTCTGCAACTCGATGGCACTGCTCACTCTCAGAAATGTAGTAAGTGGAGACTTCTTTCCCTCAGAAGTGTGCCATACAGAGAAGTGCTGGGGAGAAGAGATGGTTAAAAAGAGAAAAAAAAAAAAGATGGGGGAAAAAAAAAAAAGCCAAAATTGTGTAAATAATTTGTGTATTAGTATACCACAGTTGTTGCATTTATCCATCGGCATTCAAAAACATCTGGGACAGCATCTTAAAGTAAACAATGTTCACAAGGCCATCTGGACAAAACTGCAGGCAAAAATTAAAGCATAAGCATATGGAAAAGCAGATTTTTCTCTTCCCTTTAGCAGTACGGGATGACAAATGTCAAACCTAGATCTGTCCACGCTTCACTGTGCTATGCTTTGCAGCACCACCTGGCTCTCCTTGCACAGCCACCAAATATGGACAGCACTGCCACAGCGGACCATATCTGCAGGGCAAACTCAATAAAAGCATTTCACTTCATGGTTAAATGGCAGCTTCACACAAGTAGCAAGGTTCCATTTGCTGAACCTTACACAGAAATTATTTTGGGGGGGGGGGGGGGGGCACAACGGTGTGGGGGGGGGGGGGACGACAAAGCTGAAGCATCCAGCTTTGCAATAAGAGCTGGATGAATACGCAATTATAAAACACAATAAATGAGAACCAGACATCCAATTGCCACAAAGCTGGATAATTAGTATAGGGATAAGGAGAAGTAGTATTAAATTAAGAAAAGGCCTGTATGTTGTTACTGAAGTCTAGGAACCTAGTTTCATTCAGAAGGTTTTAATTACTGCCTCTTGATTTTTTAATCAATTTTACAAACACAATCCATGTCACATTTTACCAGGGGTTTTTATCTGTGAAAAAGTCTTGACAGAAAAATGTTGCTTTGCCATTACAAACATTATCTGCTGCCTCACTTAGACCATGCAGATATTTTTAAGGACATATACGGTGCCAGAGGAGGGACAGCAGTTTTTAATTTAACTCTGCTCAGTGTCTCCAGCTCAGTGACAAATGACAGACAGGCCTGAAGCTGAATGTTTAGTTGACATGTGAAGAGTTGGTCAGTCTTAATAGAAGATGCTGGTAACGACTGTGATAGCTAATACTTCTACAGATTGGGGATGGAGGGTCCTTCTGCAAGATTAACCCAAGGCTACAAGCATGTTATTAATCAAAAGGGTAATATGTAATTTTTTAAAGTGAATTTGCTCTGAACTGTTCCAAAGACCCTTGCTGACACAATCTTGCAATCCTGTAATGTTTTAACAGGCGTGCTTTTGGATATGAAAAGTAACTTTTGTGCCAGTATAGACACAACAAGGACCCCAGCAGAAGGATTCCATCGAAATGGCTGTCATCTGCTGCTGCCCACAAGGGCCTTCATCTCCTGGCCAAACAGTGCTTTGAGAAAAGAAGCACTGCAAGCCATCCGGCTGCGTGCAGCAACACCGGTTATCAAGGACCCTGTTAATGTTAACAAGAGCAAGGCAGGTGACAAGCGCAAAAGTAATTAAATTCACAGATTGATTTCTGTCTGTAGTTCACTATTACATCTTTTTGAGAGGTGACGCGGTGCCCCTCAACCTCTCTGCCCTTCTCAGGCACTGTGGCCATCAGCCCACAGCGGGGACAGCGCATCCGACAACGACTGTTTCGGGGCTCACACGTTCAGACTGCGCACCTCTGTCAGACTCCTGCAGTTTTGTGGTAGCGGTGGCCTTTCTAACCCAGTCACGCAGGGAAAACTCTCACCCAGGTTGTGCCTTGATCACCACAACCTCCTTTTCCCTCAGCAAGGCATATCTGGCTGCAGAGATGCCCTACTGGAGCACTCAGCCAAGATCCACTGCCCAGCTCTCCGTCTGACTCATCTCATCCTGCTGACCACCTCTTCCCTGGCGCCAGGTCAGTCCCACCACGACGTCCACCTCCAGCACTCACTCCTTCGGCTCTCAGACAGCTGTATTTGTCCTTAGGCGCAGCCTTCGCGCTCAGCAAAGCTTCCCGACGTCACCGCACGCTAGCAACCCCCCTTCCCACCAGACCCAGAGGAAAGAGGACAACAGCCAGAGACTGCTCCTCTGCCGCAGCTCTTGCTTGCAACGCACTCTTGTCTTGCCACTCTTTTCTTCAGCTTTTGTAATTTTTACCTACTTCTGCTCACCTGTAGTCTTGTCTCGAAAGCCCTCCGGAGGCAGGGAACATCGTTTTGTCCCACAGCTGCACAGCACCGGCCTCATGGCTATGTGACTGAGATTCCTAAGCCCAGTGTTAACACAGACAACGATTCAGTCCGCGAATCAGAGCAAGTCACCGGACCAGGTGTACAAAAACACACGGTGCTGACACATCCACTTGCAAAAGACGTTCAGAAAACTTATCACGGGTTCTCTATCAATTTGTTTTGCCAGTATTTCAAACGTCTGCAGCGCACACGGACTTCTGTACTGCCCTTGCTGAAACTGAGCTGTGCCTGGGGGTGCAGATGGTATGCAAGCAAAAAGATAAACGACATCCAATTTTTCTTTCAGCCAGGGTAGTAAGCATTTTTCCTCATCTTTTCAATGCAACTTTTTTTTTTTTTAATTATAAATGAGGGTTCCAGGAATATGCACTTTTATTCCAAGGTCAAGCCTTTTCTATTGAATACAACTCTGGTACTTCAGCTGAAGGTCTTCACAGTAAAAGCAAGGTTAATAGATTGCCTTTCTTTTACCAAGTTCTCATCATGCTGCATTATGAAATGCTACTAAATTGTCTGGCACTCCTTTTCTGTTTAAAAAATCTAAATTTTTTTTTCAACACTGTACAACGAGAATCTAACACTTAGAAAAACAGCACAGTTCTCTTCTGAAATGGTCACTAGCTTTACATTTTAAAAGTCCAATTTCTCTTGCAGTGCTACAATCCTGCCAAATTAAAGATTACAACTACAATTTTATTTCTCTGAGTCTGCCAGAATGCTATAAACTAAAAATCTACGTCTGCACACTGTGAAAGAACAAGCTATTCAAGCACCAGTTTTGATCCTCTACGCTCCCATGACTTATGCTACACCTCACAAGTAAATAAGTACGTGGACAGGAAAGGGAAGAATCTGTGGATAAAAATGAGAGAACGTCTACAAAGTTTTTTGCCAATGATTCAGTTCTCATTTCTTTGCAACATGTATAATTAACAGCAGCCACTAACAAGTAAGTAAACTTGAAAGATAATTTATGACCAACAACAGAAATGTCTTTTTGCTGAAGTGTATCTCAGATTTGGAGAATCAACATATTCTGCTATATTTTGCTAGTTGATTTTATTTTTGAGTAGATAGAAAGGACTTATACAACTTCAAGCTCCAAATTATGCAATAGTGAAAATCAGTTAGGAAAGAATACATTACCTTTTTTTTTCAGTACGATCCTTTGTCAACTGCTAATATCCACAGACAAATGCAAATTTGAAAAGTTATTCATCATACCTTGTTTTTCCTGCAAGTTAACACCTATTACTTGTACTGTAAAATTATCTATTTTTAAATCTTTGTTTTACATCAGTTATATCCATTGGCAAATCTGTGCAGCTGAACTTACTACCAAAATCTCAATCCTCTGCTTGACCTTCCAAACAATAAATTTAACTACAAAATTTGAGAATAAATATTCTTCCTTCCCATTCTATTGCCACAAAAACCAATTTAATTAACTGCTCCATAAAAAAATTGAATATGCAATCTTATGTCTCCACCAATGTCTAATTTGGCTTTTGTAAAGAAAATACGCATAATATTCACTTTTAAGACTGCACAACAATTTATTTTCTCCAGCAAATGAGCAGACACGCAGATCGCAATGTCTCAGCATGGTTTCTGTGTACTACATGTGCATTATGTCCATGTGAAGCTCACAAGTGTGCCACACAGACAATACTGCACCTGCCTTTCTGTGAAAATCATCATGGCCTGCTAACCTTTTCCACAAAACAAATTTCTGGGTGGTACACCCTAGAAAGCAATCTTGCTTTATTCTTCCATCTTGTGCCCAACATGACCTCTTAACCAGACAGACTCCTCTAAAAAAAAAAAAAAAAACCCAAAAATAAAAAAACCAGGCATTGCTGGGTACAACAAACCATAGGATCAGATGCGAAAATCACACAGCTGCAAGCATTCTTTTGGGAACCCAGCACTGGGATTTATCTCAATCGCTTAATGTAATTACAAAAGTCAGTCATGTAGTAGTAATGTAATTTGCACATTTTTACAGCTGAAGTGAAGTTGAATCTTTATGAGAGGCTGAGTGAAAAGCAGGGATCCTGCTGCCACACTATTCCACCACATTAGTACCAAATGACAAGCATTTTGCTTTTGTTTATTTTCCAAGATGCATTAATTAAGAAATCTATATAACCCTCCCTTACATGTTCAAGCCGATTATTTTATCTTTAAATGACTCCTGCCCTTTTGAGAACTCAAAACCAAAAACCTAGCAGCCCTCATCTGTTACTTACATTCAAATTCATACTGCATTTATGCAGAAATTTCTACACAATGCTATCTGAATTTTAATGCCGCACCATGCTAACCAGTTGTTACAACAGAAAGAAATCCAGATATAAGATGAATTGTTGTTACAGTGCCACATTCTGATATGAAAACTAAATGTCTTCGCTTCGGCTGCTTTTTTAGGAAGAAACAGAAAAGCAATGGGAAAAAAGCACAAGATTGATTTTTAAGTGGAAAATATGAATTATTGTCAGGTTTACACTACTTGTTTCTCACAAGTTATTTTTCATTTATTTAAAATTGGTTTATTTTTATAATGGCTGAATATACAAAATAAATTTTAAAACATCTAAGCCAACTAATAATTTAAAGGATGACAGTTATGCTGAAAATACCACTTTAACATGAAACGAAATGCTACACTTAAACAAAACAAAAGATAAGTTGTCAATAGTAGAGTTAGTTTTCACTGTTATACTTTGTGTCCTTTGAATTCTGGACAACAGCATGAATTATACTTCGATTTCAGATTTTATTTTTTAAAAAATCCTCATAGGCAGTCTAATTTAAAGTAAAGGAAAAAAAAATATCTTAAGTTACATTTCTTTAGGGGGAGTACCAAGTGTGCTAGCCCAAGTATTTGACATAAAACAGAAAACTTATTGCTGGTACATTTATCCAAGTGAAACACGAATGCCAACTCCAACTGGGAACTCCCTCTCACACATAGCACTTATTTATCAATACACGGCTGTTTCCTAGCCTCTTCCAGCGAGGAGCCTGGCCCAAGGCAACAAAGTATGCCAAGCAAACAGCTTTTTCCTCCTTTCCCTGCCACTTAAGAAAACCCAGCAAATCATCTTTGGCCCAACGTCCCCAGAGCTCTCAAGAGCATGATCCACATTGCTCAGCACAGCCGCACTCTCTGCCACGCAGGGAGTCGCCAACTTCCAGCTTTAACACATCACTGGAAGTACACACACGTGCTTGCTTTGTGCATGAGAACAGGCTTGCACGTGAGCCTCAGCCCCTTCCCAGCGTGGAGCAACCTCCGTGCTGAAACCTCTGGTTGTCCCAGGGGCCACCCTGCAAGGCTTGCGTGTGACTTCCTTAGCTTTGAAGGATGCTGGCACGTCTATTTGCTCAAAGCTAGGCAGGTGCATAAATTTGAAGGATGAAATGTATCTGTGCAGACCAGTAACACACAGGCCAAGACACTGGGAAAGCAGGCTCCTCAGTCTGTGACCAATTTAAAACCACCCTGCACCATCCTTGTGCTGCTCGCAATGCACTGCTCGCTTGACATCACCGCTGGTACCGGACTCTACCTTTTACATGACTGCCGTGAACCTCCTTTTCCAAGGCACCAAAGCAAGCAGGGCCAACTCAACGCACTGCTACAACAAAATGCGCGACTGCAGACTGAAGCTGGATGATAGCTAGTTTTTTAATTCAATGCCTGGTTTCAGAAACTGAAGGGCAAAGTGGTTTAAATAAAAAAGGAAGAAAAAAAGAAAAAGAGAAAAAATGTTTATGCCCTAAACAAAAAAAATACAATTTTGTTTCCAGTTACAGAAAAGAGTAGATCACTTAGATCAGGCAAATACTTAAATGAAATACGTGCATTTTCAAAACAGAGTACCAAAATGAAACACAAATACATATACAGCAGAAATATATTCTGTCTTGCTCTGCTATACAGACCTGATTTTTAAGAAATCCTGGGCCTAACTTAAGCTTACTTTTCCTGAGTTTGGAATTTCAGTTGCTTAATTTAAGACATTTCACAGAAAACTGCTAAGCACCATACTGTGAAAACTTCAGATATTCTGAAGTTTCACAAATTAACAATCTAAACCATGAAGCACACAGTCATATCACTCTGAAAGTCTTATCCAGCAGCACAAAAATGGACTAAAATTGTTTCAATGAACTAACAGAAACAAACACTACAGCATTTTCATCTGCAAGCAAGCTGCAACACCCATTTATTACATGTAAACCTGAAACTGAAGCTGTGAACAAAAGTGAAATCATACTATATTTTCATTACTTCAAGCAAAAAGATGCAAAAAGTAGCAATTTATCAATTTATTACAATTGTATAATTTAACGTACAACTTGTGATGAGATCAAAATATAAAATATGTATTTCTGAGTTGCCCTCCATTTCCCCTCCCCGCCAAAAATATCTAATACCTCTTAAAACCAGTAGGATTTATGCACATGCAGCTAGAGGAATACCTAGTCTAATTCAGTAAGGCAATTCTTTCCATTCTTACTTCTAATCACTTGATTATCTCTGCTAAAAACTGCAGCCAATTGTGTTAAAAGTTTACTTAAGCTGGCCTTTGTGAGTAAAATCTGGAATCCAATGTACTCTTGAAGCCACAAGCCAGAAATGCTGCTGAGTGTGTTACGGAAGGGATGACACCGTCAACATTATCAAGAGCAGGCAGTTGAGGGCCACACATACAAAGTTTTACCTACTATTACGTATATTGAGAAGATATAGTAGGCTCTCAACATAAGAAAATAACGTAATACTATTTTCTATTAGTAGAAATGAATATTCTATCAATTAAAACCCAATAACATAGATGAACAGAGAGCATTACATACAACAACCGAGTATTAGAAAATCCATTTAAACAAATCTAAGTAACTGTGGAAAACAAATTCAAATCAGAAAAATTTTAAGATGTGACACATCCACACTAGGAAAATTCAATTCATTCACACTTCTATATAGTTTTTGTGCATTAATTTATATGGTATCTTATTTAAGGTAACATCTTCTCTACAATAAACTTTCTTCATTAAAGATGAAATTTGGAAAAACTGTCCTATGGTACCCAAAATATTTTTAAAATGTAATCATACTGTAGGAAAAAAAAAAAAAAAGAAATTATGTTTCAACAGGCATTATTTGCCCAAGTAATTGTGCAATTACAAATTGCATTATACTCGCATCATACATAATTTTTCAATCTATGTTTAACATGACTAAAAATCCAAAATGCTCATTTCTAGAGACAGTATACAGACCTCTCCAGATAAAACTATTTCTGTAAACTTACTTGGTTCAGCCCTGGAACCATGTTTTTGAAGAAAGTCAACTATCTGAGCCAAAACCTTTTTGTTGCAATGTGTCGACAGCTCTTCATCACATTCATAACACCTAAACAAAAGAAGAAACTAACTGAAATTCAGGGTATCTGGGTACACCTCCCAGCTCTAACAAACCTCTCAAACAACTTTACACAAGTTACTTCGGCTCTAGATTTCAATTTTTCATACTAAAAAGAGGAATAAAATTGAACTCTCTCATCCCACATATGCTCTTCTATAGATCAGCCCCAATTCACTGTGATACTTAGAGATTCAATTAATCTCAGTTTATAGTCCTGCAAATAATCATTTAGAAACAAGCAGAAAGGACAAACTCCTGTAAGCAACCAACTCTACAGAGCACAATGGACTCAAACTTCTATCTTAGTATTGATTTGTGACCCCTCTTAGAGTCCTAAAGACAAACTAATTTCCTCTCCAGAAAGCCTACCTTTCCTCTATATGAAGTATTCATTTTATCTGTCAGAATCATTCTTTATCATGAGAAGACACTGCTTTAAGTTATGAGCAGTCCTTATATACAAGTGTACACAAACACCTGCATACTCATTCTTACCATATGATCCATGTGCTGAGGTTGATAACAATGCAATGAGGTTCTGTGCGTGCTGTCTGGAAGTGTTTCAGAGAATGTTGGCCTTCTGAGTTCTTACTACATCCCTAAAAATGGAAACATCAACACAGTAAGGGGAAAAAAGGGAAGTAGGAAAAGTGGCGGGATGGGTCCTATGACTGGAGTGTTGGGACGGAAGGGTACAGGCTCTTTAGGAAGGACAGGCAGGGCAGACAAGGAGGGGGTGTCACCCTCTATGTCAGTGACCAGCTGGAGTGCATGGAGCTTCACCTGGGGATGGATGAGGAGCCAACCGAGAGCTTATGGGTCAGGATTAAAGGGAGCACACGGGCAGGGGACACTATAGTGGGGGTCTGCTACAGGCCACCTGATCAGGATGACTGAGTGGATGAGGCCCTCTATAGACAGATAGGACCAGCCTCACGTTCAGAAGCCCTGGTTCTCATGGGGTACTTCAAACACCCCGATATCTGTTTGAGGGGCAACACAGTAGGGCATAATCAATCCAGGAGGTTTCTGGAATGCACTGATGATAATTTCCTCCTCCAAGCGATAGAGGAGCCACTGACAAGAGGTGCCATGCTGGACCTTGTTCTAACCAACAAGGAGTGACTGGTGGGAATGTGAAGCTCAAGGGCAGCCTTGGCTGCAGTGACCATGAAGTGGTGGAATTCAAGATCCTTAGGGCAGCGAGGAGGGCACACAGCAAACTCACTTGCAGGAGAGCAGACACTGGCCTCTTCAGGGATCTGCTTGGTAGAGTACCATGGGACAGAGCCCTGGAGAGAAGAGGGGTCCAAAAAAGCTGGTTAGTGTTCAAGGATCACCTCCTCCAAGCTCAGGAGCAATGCATCCCAACAAAGAGGAAGTCAGGCAACCAGGAGGCCTGCATGGATGAACAAGGAGCTCCTGAGCAAACTCAGACACAAAACGGAAGCTGACAAAGGGTGGAAGCAAGGACAGGTAGCCTGGGAGGAATACAGAGAAACTGTCCAAGCAGCCAGCGATCAGGTTAAGAAAGCTAAAGCCCTTATAGAAGTAAATCTGGCCAGGCCAGGGACGTCAAGGACAACAAGAAAAGCTTCTATAGGTATGTCAGTGATAAAAGGAAGACTAGGGAAAATGTGGGCCCTCTCCGGAAGGAAACAGGAGACCTGGTTAACCAGGACATGGAGAAGGCTGAGGTACTCAATGACTTTTTTGCCTCGGTCTTCACTGGCAAGTGCTCTAGCCACACTGCCCAGGTTACAGAAAGCAAAGGCAGGGACTGGGAGAGTGAAGAACTGCCCACTGTAGGAGAAGATCAGGTTTGAGACCGTCTAAGGAACCTGAAGGTACACAAGTACAGCAGGTTGAGGGAGGTGATTCTGCCCGTCTACTCCACTCTCATGAGACCCCACCTGGAGTACTGCGTCCAGCTCTGGGGGCCCCACTACAAGAAAGACATGGAGCTGCTGGAGCCAGTACAGAGA